GTTTTGAGAGTCACTTATGTGAATGTACCTTTTCACAGATTGTTTCAGCTCTGCAGAACATAATAATGGCTGTTACCTCATGTAAAAGCCACCTCTGGAAAGCTGGAGAAGTCAGGATTTGAACAAGCTAGGCCCGACGATAAGTTGTTTGGGGAAAAGAAAAGTCTTGATGGTTTCTATCATAAAAAGTACCATTTCACAGGTTGTTTCAGCCCCGCAACATGTAATAATGACTTTTGACTCATGTAAAAACCACCCTTGAAAAGCTTGAAAAAGCATAATTCTAACGAGCTAGGCCCGACGATAAGTTGTTCAAAAAAAAAAAAAAAAGTCTTGATGATTTTCGTTGTAATGCCACAATGCAGTCAAGGTTTGATAGAGATTATCAACATAAAACCCTCTTTTCTGTGTTTGTCAACAAAAACAAAACATCTCTTGAAGATTTTAACATGGTAATTACCATGGCATTGAGGTCTATCAGCTGGCTGGTTTTCAGGTTACATGGATTGAAATTGGGTGAGTGCGTCGTTGTTCGTCGGGATGCAGGGTCTGTTTGCATGCAGCAGAGGGTCCGTGCACCAAGTGCATCACCTCAATTTGGAAATGTCTCAGGCACAAACTGAAACTTTGATGGTCCCTGCCCAGCAACAAGCAAGATAGCCGTACCATCCTCATTGCCGCAACACCCTTTTCTGGTCCTGCATAATGCATACTTGGTTACCTCTGGCTATCAGAGCCAGAGCTCATATTAAGAGAAAGTGTGCACAGCTAAGTCCGAAGTACCATTAGATTGGTGGTGTTTTTGGGGCAATGTGTAGTGCTTAGCTTGGCAGGGTGTTCTATGCAGTGGCTAGTCCAGTGGAGTATCATAAAGAAATGACACCGCCGGCAGAGCACCATTTGCGGAGGGATTGTGTACTCAAATATATTTTCAGTATAAATGTGTCAAACATATTCTAACAGGCTATTATACATTTTCTTAAATGGAAGTGGAGGCAATGTGCAGTGGCTGGTCTGGTGGAGTATCATGAAAAAATGACACCACCAGCAGAGCAATATTTGCGGGGGGATTGTGTACTTAGATATTTTTTTGGTGTAAATGTGTCAAACACATCCTAACAGGCCATTATAAATTTTCAATATAAAAGCAGAGACAATGTGTGGTGGCTGGTCCGATGGTGTATCATAAAGAAAATGACACCGCCGGCGAAGCAATGTTTGCGGAGGTATTGTGTACTTAAATATGTTTTCAGTGTAAATGTGTCAAATATATTCTAACAGGCTATTATAAATTTTCAATATAAAAGCGGAGATGATTTGTGGTGCCTGGTCCGGCGGCGTATAATAAAAAAATGACACCGCCGGCAGGGCAATATTTGCGGACATATTGTGTACTTAAATATGTTTTCAGTGTAAACATGTCAAAAATATTCTAATAGGCTATTATAAATTTTCAATATAAAAGCGGAGGTGATTTGCAGTGCCTGGTCCGGCGGCGTATAATAAAAAAATGACACCACCGGCAGGGCAATATTTGTGGAGGTATTGTGTACTTGAATATGTTTTCAACGTAAATGTGTCAAACTTCATTATAATTCTTTTTCTATTTTTGCGGAGTCAATGTGCGGTGGCTGGTCCGGCGGTGTATCATAAAAAAATGACACCACCAGCAAAGCAATGTTTCGAGAGGTATTGTGTACTTAAATATGTTCTCAGTATAAACATGTCAAAAGTATTCTAACAGGCTATTATAAATTTTCAATATAAAAGCGGAGGCAATTTGCGGTGGCTGGTCCGGCGGCGTATCATAAAAAAATGACACCGCCGGCAGGGCAATATTTGCAGAAGTATTGTGTACTTAAATATGTTTGCAACGTAAATGTGTCAAACTTCATTATAATTTTTTTCTATGTTTGTGGAGTCAATGTGCAGTGGCTGGTCCGGCGGTGTATCATAAAAAAAATGACACCGCCGGCGAAGCAATGTTTGTGGAGGTATTGTGTACTTAAAATCTGTTTTCAGTGTAAACATGTCAAAAATATTCTAACAGGCTATTATAAATTTTCAATATAAAAGCAGGGGTGATTTGTGGTGGCTGGTCTGGTGGCGTATCATAAAAAAATGACACCGCCGGTGGGGCAATATTTGCAGTGGTATTGTGTACTTAGATATGTTTTCAATGTAAATGTGTCAAACTTCATTATAATTCTTTTTCTATGTTTGCAGAGTCAATGTGCGGTGGCTGGTCCGGCGGTGTACCATAAAAAAATTATATAACCAGTGGAGCAATATTTGTGGAGTGATTGCCTTGCTGGTGTACTGAAATCCTTTTGCAGATTAAATGTGTGAAGCTTCTTCCAACAGATCATTCCAATATGCATAATTTCTGCAGAGGCAATGTGTGGTGCTTAGTCCAGTGGAGTGTTTCAGAAGCAATGTGCAGTGCTTAGTCTGGCAGAGTGATTCCACTCAAATTGTAGCAAACAGCATACATAGGTTGATAATATTATGCATGATTGGTATAAGCCAGACTTCTAATTCTAAGTATTCAACTGGATGATCGCCGCCGGCATGTCACCAACACCCCGGCGGAGGGCAACCCCACAGAGGGTTATGACATTCAAGGTACACCCAGCCGCTCCAGTGGTGTGGGACATTGTTGCTGACGGCCCACACATAGTTACTGGTGGATTGTTCAGGGTCCGGCCGCCCCTTTGACAATGGGGTCCGGTAATCAAACCGGCCGTCCGGCTAGACCCATACCATTTGATGGATTGTCAGGGCAGGGTGGCCCATTACTAATGAGCCAAGGTGACTAACCTAACTGTTACTTGTACACGTGATGGTTCGAATTTGTCATGTCTTTACATTTAGAGGAGGCGGGAATGTGCAGAACCCCGGGATGGATCGTAGTAGACCTCCTCTGAGGTGGATGGTATTTCAAGCGGGGGAGCTCGGTCTTCGCACAGAACCATTCGAGCATGAGCTTTCTCCTCATGAGCAGATCAATATCATCCAGTCTTTGACATGGGTCTGGTGGCCGCTTGAGCTTTGTTTCTTCGATAGATTGACATACTCGAGGCGTAACGATGGAAAAAAGACGACTCATAAGCAAGTATTCTCCAAATGCGAGGCAATACCTCAACTAACTGTCTTTTAGGCCTCATCTCGGGTCAAGGCGCAAAATACACCCTAATCAGAAGATCCATGGTTCTCTCTTGCTGGCCGGTAAATTGAAGAGCGGGTACACTCCAAAAGCACGTCCTTTGGATGACGATGCATCATTCTGGGATACAGCGCGTGAGAAGGGGCTCGGCAATTGGCTGGAATTGGACTTGTTCGACGCTGTGCGCGCCCATGTGGAGAAGTTCATCACCGAGGATGATAGTAGTGTGTGGGAGAATTTGCGCCATATTGGAACTTGGGGTAAACTTGCTCAGTACCTCAGAATCTCCATAGCTCACATATGGGCACATTTAGCGGATGGACGACAAGCAGTGTACGTTGAAGTCATTAACGGGCTGAAGACACTTGCTCTCAAGCCTGAGATCACGTTTCAACTCCTGCACAACACGGTAGACATCCTCAGGGGTCATCGAGCCAATTTACAACTAAGTTCGTCGATTGAAATTCCTCTCGTAGCAGACCTTCGACATAGTCACGAAAAACACTACCAGGAGACAGCACAGCAGTTTATGGAGCAGTTTACGGATCGTAAGTGAAAGCCACCACTCTTTTGTGAATGACTGAACCCATGGCTCTAACCTCAGCTTCCATCTTCGTATTGAGTGGACACACAGAGCGGATCACATCTGTCACATTCTCGCCTGACGGCAGGCGCATAGTCTCGGGCTCGTGGGACAGGACAATTCGGATCTGGGATGCGGGGACAGGGAAGCCAATGGGAGAGCCATTCCAAGGACATACAGCTGTGATCCTACTTGTGGCATTCTCGCCTGATGGCGGGCGCTTAGTCTCGGGGTCGTACGACCAGACAATTCGGATCTGGGATGTGGAGACGGGGAAGCCAATGGGAGAGCCATTCCAAGGACACACAGGTGACATCAACTCTGTCGCATTCTCGCCTGACGGCGGGCGCATAGTATCGGGGTCGGGCGACCGGACAGTTCGGATTTGGGATGCAGAGACGGGGAAGTCAGCGGGAGAGCCATTCCAAGGACACACAGGTGACATCAACTCTGTCGCATTCTCGCCTGACGGCGGGCGCATAGTCTCGGGGTCGGACGACCGGACGATTCGGATTTGGGATGCAGAGACGGGGAAGTCAGCGGGAGAGCCATTCCAAGGACACAACAGTTGATCCTCTCTGTCGCATTCTCGCCTGACGGCGGGCGCATAGTCTCGGGGTCGGTGACAAGACAATTTGGATTTGGGATGCAGAGACGGGGAAGTCAGCGGGAGAACCATTCCAAGGACACACAGGTTGGATCTGGTCTGTCAGATTCTCGCCTGACGGAAGGCGCGTAGTCTCAGGCTCGGTCGACCAGACAATTCGGATCTGGGATGCAGAGACGGGGGAGCCAGTGGGAGAGCCATTCCAAGGACACACAGGTCCGATCTTTTCTGTCGCATTCTCGCCTGACGGCAGGCGCATAGTCTCGAGCTCGTTCGATAAGACAATTAGGATCTGGGATGCGGAGACGAGGATACCAGTGGGACAGCTATTCCAAGGATCCACACATCAGATCACGTCTGCCGCTTTCTCGGACAGCACGCCCGTACCCTCAGGCTCGGGCAACAATACAGTTAGGGTTCAGGGCGCAGAAACAGAGTAGATAGTGGCAAGAGTGGATGATACCACTATCATATCTACCTGGACTTTCCCTCGTCTCCCGTTATATTTCTTTCCCTCCCTCTGCGGTGACTTTCTTGTGCAGTACGTACAGTCGGGATTTATGCAAGTTCAATGAACAGACTGGGGTATGGGCATCAAATTTGTCAAAGCCCTCTAACTACTCCTGACCCTCCTGACCATTAGGGGCGCTCAGAGTCGGAGTTAGTTGTTGGACGTGTATACTTTCTTGTTCAGTTTTTTTACATATTATTTACTATTGTCAATGGTTTGTGAGTCGTGACATGAAGTGAAGGCCGATTGAGATGTTCACCAGCACCTCACGATGATACTTATGTATATAAGGAAGCCCCACAATGGGCTCTCATTAACGGCTCAAGTACAATAACAAAAGTACTTAAAAGGAGCAGAAGGGACGACGAAAACAAATAATGAAACACAGTCCAAATCTACTTTGGCAACTGACCCGCAGCCACCTCAATCAAATTCTCCTCCCCTGGCGCATTCTGCACATATCTCGCATTAAACTTCAACACACTTTTAAACTCCGAAAACGCTTTCGGACTAATCGGCAGGAAAGTATCCGCGACGAGGAAAGTGACACCGTCAGTACATGGAGGAGTCGTCAACGATCCAATATATTTGAATAGGGAAACGATGTTGAAGAAATTCGTGATGTTGGAGAAGGAGAGTGGGCCAGTGGTGGTTGAGCTGCCTTGTTTTGTGATGGCGTGGAGAGGAGCGGAGAGGGGGGCTAGGAGGTTTGCATTTGTTCCGGTGAGGGATAGTTCGAAGAGCGCTGCGAGGACGAAAATGGAACCGTCTGATGGACTAAAGTTTAGTTCAAGAACGGATGGGTTTGAGTTCAACTTACCAGACGCGATGTTGACGAAATGCACCCCCATCGGATAAAATTGCGCGTCGATAAGGTGTTCTGCGGGCGTATGGAAATGATATTGCTTCAGGCTGTACGTCTTGCGTTCAAATATCGTAGTCCCATTGATCACAACCTCGGCCTCAACCGTCGAGCCCAGGTTCTCAAACTCCGCCGACTTGGATGGCAACATCAAGTCAAAAACGAAAAAGGGTAAGTAATGGTATCGACAAGTCGACAATAGAGGCTTTAAGAAGTTTAAAGCACATACTTCCCAATTGACACGAGGAAAAGTTGTGCCCAAGCGGGATGAGATTAGACGTTGAGAATGCATAGAATTTCCAGACAGGTCTTAGTACAAGAAGGACCAGGATTGAATATTTTTGAGCCGAAAAGAGTCACGCGCACGGGTGGCATTTACTTGTGGCCTTGTCGCGTTGCATTCGAACACGCACAAAGCCAAGAGAATCAGCGGTGTGATTGTGGCAAGTGCAAGGTGGCAACAGGAACTTTACGGAATGAGTAGAAGGCGACCTTGTAACGCCTTTGAACTGTAAGATTCGACTTCAATTTGAAGCAGGTTTGAAGCGAAAGCGCTTCCATAACGTCGCGCCAAGAATGCTGAAGCTGAAGTTCGACAATCTCGAGAGTCCAGAATGAGGTGGTGGCGTATTGGTGGCGTAATCAATGAAGGTTGTTTACTTTGTCAGATGAAGACAAACTCGTAAGAACAATGAACAACAAGAGTCCTTTCCCACCGCTGTTCAGCTTGATCCACGAGTACAGTTGCGGACAAACAAAGGCATCAAATTTGGTATCTCGGGAACGGGAATTTTCTGGACAAAACTAACGACAGATTTGAACTCGGACGGTCAAATAGAGCCTAAAAACAGTCCTCCCAAGTTTTTCCCATGAGGTTTTGGGTACGCCAAATTTTTTGACCAAAATTTTTGGTGTGCCGGTGGGACATTTGGGCGGGCCGAAGCGTCAAATCTTATCAAGGGTTGAGAACAGCCTCAATCGACATCATCGCCCGTTGGGAGACTTGGCGATGCTGCTTCTGCTTTTTGACGGCCCACGCTGCCGCGTGTCCTGTCAATCCGAGGCGATACGCACTCATAAAACGCCACGAGCGATTGATGAATCGATGTATGACCTCGGTGGGACATGCTTCGAGATATTGCTTAGCCGCATTCTTTGCGTCTTGAAATGTTTTTTTGTCAACTTCACGGTAGCGGTATTTACACCACCCCCAATACTATAGACATGTCAGATAGCAAATGGAAATTTAAGAATGTACTTGCCATTTCAATGGGATTCAATTCACAATGAAATTTCGGTAGAAAAATGCATTCATGACCTCGAGATTTGATGAATGTTTCGAGCATTGACGGCTGATTTTTGAAATCATCCTGTTGACTAAGAAGACGGGCGAGACAGCAGTTTTGGTTATCGAATGGGCACACTGGAGAACACTTGGCACGAAGTTTCTGAACGTTAAAACCACGCTCCTCGAGAACTCGTTGCAAACCTTTTGGTTTGCCATCGGGAAGTGTCATTGATTGTGGTTTACCACGATGTTCTTCCACAGGATTTGTCTCTGGAATAATGGTGTCTTGTTGACGTCGCTGTTTTCCACCATCAGATTTGTTCATTTCAAAGGCTTTGAGAGCGTCAGGCGGCAGAGATGCGTGTGCGGAAGATTGATCAAAGATGAAAAGACTTTGCTTCCCAGGATGTGCCGCTTCAAATATTTGAATTGCCTCCTCCATTTGCTTGAGTAATTGTTCACAATCCCACCACGCATCGCCGCCAGATCCGGGATAAATGATTTTAGTGGAATCTCGCACAACGTCTCCCTTCTCATCCAACAAAATTAGGCGGCCATTTTCCGGGTTAATAAATGCTGAGACATGAATGAGGCGCCCACGCCCCTTTTTGCGCAACGGCTGTTCTCCCTTCCGCAGCCACACACTCCTGACCTCCTCATTTGCATGAAACGTGCTTTCGTCATCGAAATTTGGTATAATTTCGCGTTCCCCAGGTTGAAGAACAGGTTCCACACACCGTAATTCAGGCCCCTCATAATGAGCCATGCGGGCCTCAAATTTCGCCATCAAAGGAAGAAACACATCCTGACGATATTTGACAACGTCGTCGCGCTCGTGGCCATCCATATAAACTCCCTTCTTGACTTGTGTATATCGCCATCCAAGTTTAATAAGCCAGCGTCGAGCAGTGCGAGTGCCGATAGGTTTTTTGGGTGTGATGTCAAGAGCGGGAAGAATTACTGTATTGACGGCGACTTGGAGCTTTTTTGGCGTCACCTTGCCAGTAGGTAGGCTTTGAAGAAAATCAAGAATTCGCTTTTTTACAAGCTCATCCTTGAGTAACACCACGATGCTCGATTGGAAGTTGTTCGAATATTTGGTAATGGCGCGCGAGTGCTCGAACCTTCCTAGAAAACCAGACACCTTCTCGTTCATGCCACTGTGCTGCTATTTCCAAACTAGCTTCTATGCGTGATCGTCCTTTGATACGGAGGGTAGCGAAGTTGCATATTATCATGAGTTTGTTGAGTTCAGACAGTGCAAATTTCTTTGCATTCTTCTTGAGATCGGCCTTGATTTGTGCTCGAAGCGTGGCCCAGTCCTTGATTTCTGTCGGAGGATTGCTGACATCCTGTTCTAATTCCTCCTCCCATGCTTCCATTTCCTCTGCTTGTCGTTCTGGGCTTGGTAAATTGATTTCTTCATCGTCGTCACCAAGTTCCTCCTCTTCTGATGCTGAATTGTCAGAATTCCCCATGGTTAACTCAGATTCCGGAACGGTGGAAAGGCCAACGGAAACCTCTCGATTATCTTCACCATCCGAAATATTGTAAGTCTCCCTAATGACTTCTACAGAATCTTCCGACTCCTCAGATGATATGCTGCGATCTGAAACTCGTCGGACTTGGGGAATCGAAGAGCCGCTCCGAGTCGGGCGCGCTTCGAAAAATGCGTCAAGTTGGGTCTGATCCTTGAAAACCTTCGCATGGCGCTGTTGTGACCGCACGGATTTACTCATAACATCCGGGCCTTTCATGTAGGTTTTGGGACGCTCTAAACGTAATGGTTCATTGGCAAAAGGTACGTAGTCGGATTGGATTCAGCGTTACATTACCTTTCTTCTTCCCCTTCAGACGCCTCAATCGGTACGGAATCCAATCCATATCGTTTGGATCTTCGTCGATCTCACATGATAGCTCCGCCAATTTTTTTCCAAGCTCTCGACTTGTCAATCCCTTCCACTCGTGATCGGACTCGAAATCAGAATCAGGATCATCCTCCTGCTCACTACTGGCAAGATCTTTCATGTCTTGTGGTGGCTGATCATCCTGCTCCTCATCATCGGGTAGTAGCTCGCCTGGGTTAGCGCTGGGGTAATGCTTGTCCGCATTTTTGCCTGCAGACTCGCCAATGGCTGACGGAATGGGAATTACAGATGGAGCAGGCTGATTCTTCAGCCCCGAGATATTTCTCTTTTTCTTGGGTGGGCGACCTTTTGGGGCCATTTTGCGAATTTTTTAATGAGGGAACGGCTCGATAGAAAGTCACAAGTTTGTGGGATCAGATTATATCTTATGAAAGCTATCCAAAAACGACTTTTCCGAGATTTTAGCATTTTTTTTGGGCACGCGCCAATATTTTTGGGTCATATTTTTAGAAAACTACATTTATGAAAAATCCGCTCGTGCAATTCGATAAGTGAGGTCCTTCCCGCTATCTTTCAGGCATTTTTAGAAGCTTTTGATATGTGTGGCCGCTACTATAATTGGTGAGATAAATTTGATGCCTTTGTTTGTCCGCAACTCACTTCAGGCAGCAATGGATATGAAGGGCCACATAGGTGTAAACATAGGCACTAAAAACTGGAGAATAGACCAAAATCAGTGTTCCCCTAACATATTTGCTCTCATTTTCTAAGTTTGGTGATGGAATTGTACATCCAACATATACATAACACAAACTTACAATAAAAAAAAGGATCAGATCCAAAAAATGACTGAAAAAATATGATCTAACTAAATATGAACTCAGATCATATTTATTTGTTCATTTTTTGGATCTGATCCCTTTTTTTATTGTAAGTTTGTTTTATGCATATGATGGATGTACAATTCCATCACCAAACTTAGAAATTGAGAGTAAATATACCAGGACAAAAGAGATTTCAGCATATTCCACAGTTTTGAGGGCATATGTTTATATATTTGTAGCCCTACATATTCGTCGCTGTCACAAGTGACTGTACGACCAAACGAATTACCTCTTACATAACGTACCTCATCCACACCCAACGAGCCGACGGCGATTTTGGCGCTGTGGATCTCCTAGAGCCGTCTGCCGCCTTGTCATACTTCCGAGAGCTCTGCTCTTCATTCACGGACGTTTCCCAAGACGTCATCGACAACTTCTTCCAGGACTTGATGCGTCTCGTTCGGTCTCAAGGGGAGCCTGCTGTCAAGGCGCACACAGTGCCGAGGGAGGTGTCGGAGGAGGTGTATGAGATTTTAATGAAGAGCAAGGGTGCGGAGGTTTGGGATACTGAGGTTGATGTGATTCGGACTTTGGATGGGGCTAAACGACGAGGACACAACCTGGCACGGAAACTTCAAGTCATGCGATGTGGAGAGTTGTCATGGAGACAACGACGAAGGGTAAAATGTCAGTAAGCTGTATTTTCGATATCAAGTCCAAGAAAATGACGGTACACTCAGAAAACTCGACTTTTTAAGCAACAATCACCACATTTCAACGACATCGCGCCGGACTGACGAACGGAGGATGCTCAAGACGGTTGATGGCGAGCGAGGGCGATGTCGTGAATTTCAGAGGATGATGACTGATTGGTGAAGGACGGACGATAGGTCGACAACAGCTGTTGGGACATTGGGTAAGACGACTTCTGCGAACGTTTATGGGAGAGGGACGACTTACGTTTCGTGAGTAGGACGTCCGAAACATCACTACTCCGAGGTTGCGGCGATCCTTCATCCCCTCGTCTACGAGCTTCATCAGCTGCAAAACCACGTCTTCAATCTATTTCGTCATCGTCAAAAGTGAGGGTGGAAGATATGGCACCCATGGGAAAGTCAGCCACCGTGGAGGGTTATAAAGCCGAAAGAAGTGGATCGGTTTCAGGCCAATCGACTCCATCATCATCCCCACCATCGATGTCCCCCTCGACTTCCCCGCCCTCATGTGCACATTCCAGACAGCCATCTGGAGGGACTGAGGCCATCGCGAGCTCTTCTTCCCGCCGTGCACACGCACCTTCCGTCTCAGCTCCACCGCCAGACCCATCCTCGTTCTCACCAACACAACCAGGACAAGATACCCATGGCATGACGCCCTCCATCATCCCGCACTCACCTCCAGCAACAACAACGAAATCACGACCTATAGAAAAGAAAGTGTCAGCCTCCGCGCGGGATCTTCGTCTCGGCTTGACGATGACACCTACACCACTAGTAACGCCCACAACGCGTTCTAGGGCACAAAATACATCGCCTGAGCACGAACCTTCGCATCACCGTGATTTTTTTACTGCGAGTAGACGGTGTTCGAAATGTCGTGAGGTTGTTAAAAGTCCTCGATCTTCTGTATGTTTCTTTCGTTCTTTCGTTCTTCACGCTGATCTCATGATTCCACACAGCCAAACGAACCCTTCTCCCCTCGGCTCCTCCACCTCCCCTGTGCATCCTGCAACACAAACCACTGCAGGGGCTGCTTCAAACCCACCCGATGTCCACCCACCTGCTCCGGCGGCCAGTCATGCCCAGTGCGGACCTGCTGCTCTGCCATTTGCGCCATTGCCTTATTCGAAGTGCTGTGCAGCTTCGATAAGGAATACGCGGGGGAGTTTATCATTGTTGTGATTGCGCGTACGGATAAGAGGACACGGGCGTTTGAGGGGGTGTTGGTGGGTACGTTGAGGAACGTATCGAGTTGGCTTGTTCAGGCAGCCTCTGCATCCGAGTCGTCATCTGGATCGGGGATACATGCCTCCATACCACGACTATTCACGGTCTCCCACCTCCCTTCGGTGATGCACGCCTTTCTATCGCACACACTTGGCGCAGAGCGCGATTGGGTGGTTCACAGCGAGGTATACATCGCGCTGATGGACGTGATCAAGAACCTCTCTTCGAGTTCGAATGGTGGGGTTTCTGGGGTGATGAAAGAAGGAAGGAGTTTGGGAGATGCGGTGAAGAGGTTGGAGAGGCATCGGCAGGGATTGGAGAGGTATGGGAATAAGTTCAAGTTTGCGGCTATGGCGGAGAAGATTGAAATGCTTTGTGAGGGGATTTCGTATTTGTTGTTTCAGCAGCTTGTTGGGGGGTGATTGAGGGGGTTGGATTGGGTGTGGTTGAAGGAGGAGGTTATCATTATTGCATACGGTCCCAGGTGGTCTCTGCTGGGCAGATGAACCCCCAGCAGAGACCCATCGCAAAGCTTTTTCTCTTTTCCTAATTTTTTTTCTTTCTTCTTCAGAGTTTGGTTGCATTACATAGACGTCCAAGGACATTAATTCACTTACACTACGTGTATACTTTCTTGTTCAATTTTTTACATATCTAATGTCGATGGAATATATTTGGTTTAGGCAAACTAGTACATACAGAGGTAAGCATTAGTGAAGGCCCATTCAGATTTTCAAGAACCAGCGCTAGCCAGCGTTCTGGGCCGTGGTGTAATGACTTGTAATGAGCACTTCGATCGTTCCTACTGTGTATCCGGTCGACATGTCACCCGCTTACAACTGCTTCGAGCTAGCCTCGAGGCTCGGCGTTTCTCCTTACATATAATCTGGAGCAACATCCAGTGAACGCTCATCCATTCCCTCACAATTACCCACTTCCCTTTTCTCCATGCCAGACGATCATATACCTTCCGTTAAAGGCGAGAAATGTAAGTACTACCTCGTCCGCATCTGACTCTGTTCTTTGTTGAACAACGCTGACTTTCTTTGATAAGCGACCGCCAGTGCGGGTGTTGTCACTACCTCGGACACAGAAATCAAACTATGTCAGCATAAGATCGGTGGTAGGAACCTCATTGTTTGCATCGACGGTACCGCAAATCAGTTCGGAGAGAAGGTGAGTATGCGTTTGCGAGGCTCACCACTTGCTGACATTCTTGCAAGAACACAAATGTCATCGAATTGTATAATCGCATCTTGAAGGAGGTCGAAGACAACCAGAAAACTTGGTACAACAGTGGTATCGGGACGTACGCCCGGCCATCTTGGAGATCGTTCAAATTCTACCGACAGGTCATTTCTCATAAGGTTGATTTGGCGATTGCATGGTGCGCTGAGTGGTCACTTATATACCTTGCTTTTCTTTTACCTTTTTTCTCGTTCAGGAATTTTGAACGAACAGTATTGGGTGCATATCGCTGGTTGTCAGATAATTATGAGCGTGGGGATTGTATATTTCTTTTCGGCGAGTTGGAACAATATGTGACTTGTATGTCCTTCGATGCTCAGGGATCTAACTAGGGTTTTCTCGTGGCGCATTCCAAGTCCGCGTACTCTCGGCGATGATCGACAAGGTGTGCTACGTTCTGAGAACAGTGGCAGCCCCGATTGACGTCTTCGGAAAAATCTAGGTCGGGCTGATCCATAAGGGAAATGAGATGCAGATTCCATTGTGCGCTTAAATTATCCCATATCTTATTATTCGTTAACCAATTACCTCCAGTGCATATGAGCTATACGTAGACCCGAAAAGTGATGAGGTATCAAGTTCAGTAACTCGAGTTGGATCACCGCAGGCGAAGCAAGAGACCTCCAGCGCCGAGCGTTTCAAGCGGGCCTTCTCATACAAAGATGTACGAGTGCATTTCGTTGGTTCCTGGTATGTAATACGTGCTGCCATTATGGAACCCTGTACGCTCATGATCAGAGTTTTAGGGATTCTGTCTCGTCCATTGGGATTGCACGCGGAAAGAAGATGCTCCCTCGGACAGTCGACGGGATGAAACACGTCTGCTTCTTCCGCCATGCACTGGCGCTCGACGAGCGACGGGTCAAGTTCTTGCCGGAGTACGCTTATGGAGGTTCAGCCACTTGTGCAAACCCAGACGACGAGAATCCTTCAAGTGCTAACCCTAGATCTTCGGAAAAGGGCAATGAACCATCCACGATAAATGAGGGGGAAACTACCCAAGATATATCTCCAAGCGATGACGTTGACCGCTCGCAGGGTATGAACAAGGTGACGGTAAAGCATCCGCAAACGCTGGAAGTCTGGTTTGCGGGCACGCACTCGGATATGTAAGTACATTCACCTGTCCACCTGATGGTTCGAATTTGTCATGTCTTTACATTTAGAGGAGGCGGGAATGTGAAGAACGCCGAGATGGATCGTAGTAGACCTCCTCTGAGGTGGATGGTGTTGCAAGCGGGGGCGCTAGGTCTTCGCACAGAGCCATTCGAGCGTGAGCTCTCTCCTAGCGAGCAGATCAATGTCATCGAATCTTTGACGTGGGTCTGGTGGCCGCTTGAGCTTTGTTTCTTCGATAGATTGACATACACGAGGCGTAACGATGGAAAAAAGACGACTCACAAGCAAGTATTCTCCAACTGCGAGGCAATGCCTCGACTAACTGTTCTGTTAGGCCTCACCTCGGGTCAAGCCGAAAAATACACCCTAATCAGAAGATCCATGGTTCTCTCTTGCTGGCCGGCAAATTGAAGAGCGAGTACACTCCAAAGGCACATCCTTTTGATGACAATCCATCATTCTGGGAGACAGCGCGTGACAAGGGGCTCGGCAATTGGCTGGAATTGGACTTGGACGACTTTGTCCGTACCCATGTGGAGAAGTTCATGACCGAGAATGATAGTACTGTGTGGCAGATTTTGCGCCAGACTGCTTCTTGGGGTAAAATTGCCACTCAGTACCTCAGAATTTTCGTAGCTGACATATGGCGACATTTAGCGGATGGACGACAAGCAGTGTACGATCAAGTCATTGATGAGCTGAAGAAACCCGCTCTCGAGCCTGAGATCATGTTCCAACTCCTGGGCAAGACGGTAGACATCCTCGGGGATCATCGAGCCAATTTAAACCTATGTCCGTCGATTGAAATCCGTCCTCTTCAAGTTGTGGCAGACCTTCGACATAGTAACGAAAAACGCTACCAGGAGAGAGCACAGCAGTTTGTAGAGCAGCTTACGGATCGTAAGTGAAACCCACCTTTCTTCTTTTGTATGGAGGACTGAACCCATTGCTCTTACCACAGCTTCCATCTTCGTATTGAGTGGACACACAAGTTGGATCTGGTCTGTTGCAATCTCGCCTGACGGCAGCCGCGTAGTCTCGGGGTCGAAAGACCGCATGATTCGGATCTGGGATGCGGAGACGGGGAAGCCAGTGGGAGAGCCATTCCAAGGACACACAGGTCCGATATTTTCTGTCGCATGCTCGCCTGACGGCAGACGCGTAGTCTCTGGGTCAGACGACAAGACAATTCGGATCTGGGATGTGGAGACGGGGAAGCCAGTGGGAGAGCCATTTCAAGGACACACAGATCAGATCTGGTCTGTTGCATTCTCGCCTGACGGCAGGCGAGTAGTCTCGGGCTCGCGGGATCATACTGATTCGGATCTGGGATGCGGAGACGGGGAAGCCAGTGGGAGAGCCATTCCAAGGACACACAGGTCCGATATTTTCTGTCGCATGCTCGCCTGACGGCAGACGCGTAGTCTCTGGGTCAGACGACAAGACAATTCGGATCTGGGATGTGGAGACGGGGAAGCCAGTGGGAGAGCCATTTCAAGGACACACAGATGAGATCTGGTCTGTTGCATTCTCGCCTGACGGCAGGCGAGTAGTCTCGGGCTCGCGGGATCATACAATTCGGATCTGGGATGCGGAGACGGGGAACCCAGTGGGAGAGCCATTTCAAGGACACACACAATCGATCAAGTCTGTTGTATTCTCGCCTGACGGCAGGCGCGTAGTCTCAGGCTCGTACGACAGGACAATTCGGATGTGGGATGCAGAGACGGGGAAGCCAGTGGGAGAGCCATTCCAAGGACACACAGGTGATATCGACTCTGTCGTATTCTCGCCTGACGGCAGGCGCGTAGTCTCGGGTTCAGATGACTGGACAATTCGGATCTGGGATGCGGAGACGAGGATGCCAGTGGGAGAGCCATTCCCAGGACCCACAGATCCGATCACGTCTGTCGCGTTCTCTGACAGCAGGCGCAGGCGCGTACTCTCGGGCTCGGGCAACAATACAGTTACGATCCAGGACCTAGGAACGGAGTAGATAGTGACAAGGGTGGATGATACTAACCCGATTTATGATATCTACCCAGATATTCCCTCGTCTCCCTTTATATTTCTGTAACTACTCTTTACCATTAGGGGCACTCAGACGAGTTTGTTGTCGGACGTGTATACTTTCTTGTTCAATTTTTTGCAGACGAAAACGCTGTATGTTTTGCTATTGTCAATGGTTTATCAGCCGATCCAGATTTTCACCCACACCTCATGATGATACTTATATGTAGAAAGATATATGTAGAAAGAAGTCCCAAGAGGTGTCAGATCTACCGATCCTGGCCGTCAGATCCATTTATGACAAAGCACAAGCGGTGATATCCGAAGGACGGCATGTCAGCGGCATCTAGCATTCCCATCAAATTCAAACAACTCCGCTGCACAAGTGTTTGAGGCTGAGTGAGCGTCGATTTTGAGTCCACTAGTGTACCACAGGATATCACCTATTCATAGTATGCACGAAACTACATCAAATCAGAGGTAATGTAATTTGTGCTAAATTTTAAAGAAGAAGTGAGGATAATATGGGAAGACAATTTCAAAGAAAGACATTTGAGTCGGTAGTAGTAACACTGCGAAAAAAGATGGTGGGTAGTGAATCGACGGCGTTGGTAGTTGAATAGGTGGGATTAGAATTTAATGATAAAATGACAAAGGATTGGTATTTTTTTGCCTCGGCCTCCTAGGAGGATTACCTCGCTCGAGCTCGTTGGGGATGGACAGAAACAAGATAGAAGGTTCAAGTTACAACGGGTTTGCATGGCGCACATCGGTCACGGTGCTAGCCCTTGTCCATCATCTGGAATGCCTAGTCTTGTTCCTTCCTCTTCACTTAGAGCGATTTTTTCATAGAACTCTTGAAGTTGCGAAGAACGAGAGATGAAGGGGCAGTGTTGCCAGTAGGAGTATTTTAGTCGATTTGATTGAACGAGGGTAGTAGAGTAGAATTATACGAAGAGAGAGAATGTGGTTTCACACTACGCACAAACTTATTCAACCATTTTCCGAAGCAAGGACGCATCTGGAGATGTGGACGAAGGTGAATGCAGTACTCATGCCATTTTGATCTCACAGAATAAGCCGCCTCAAGCCACATCGTGCGAGATTCCCTAATATGGTATGAGGGTGGTACCCTCATGCTGTGGGAACAACGGTCGGGATCGGAGGATCTGAGGCCTCTTGAGAAGTCCCATCATAAACTTTCATTAACGGCATAAGTACAATAATAGAAATAAAAGGAGCAGAAAGGATGATGAAAAAAAATGAAATACAGTCCAAGTCTACTTTGGCAACTGACCCGCAGCCACCTCAATCAAATTCTCCTCCCCTGGCGCATTCTGTACATACCTCGCATTAAACTTCAACACACTCTTAAACTCCAAAAACGCTTTGGGGCTAATCGGTAGGAAAGTATCCGCAACGAGGAAAACGACGCCGTCAGTGCACGGAGGTGTTGTCAACGATCCGGTATATTTGAATAGGGGAACGGTGTTGAAGAAATTCGTGATGTCGGAGAAGGAGAGTGGGCCTGTGGTGGTTGAGCTGCCTGGTTCTGTGATGGCATGGAGAGGAGCGGAGAGGGGGACTAGGAGGTTTGCGTTGGTTCCGGTGAGGGATAGTTCGAAGAGGGCTGCGAGGACGAGAATGGAACCGTCTGATGGACCAAAATTTAGTTAAAGAACAGATGGGTATGCGTTCAACGACTTACCCGACGCGATGTTGACGAAATGCACTTCCATTGGATAAAATTGCGCGTCGATGAGGTGTTCCGTGGGTGTATGGAAGTGATATTGCTTCAGGCTGTACGTTTTGCCTTCAAAGATCGTAGTCCCATTGATCACAACCTCAACCGTCGAACCCAGGTTCTCAAATTCCGCCGACCTCACATTGGGGATGCTTAGTTTCGGATGGGTCTTCGAAAATGGGACGACGTCATGCTCGATATTTATGGGAGACTGGACATTGGCCGTTGAGCATTTTACGTTTGCAGGGCTAAGGCCCGCCCAGCCGAGAGGACCGGTGACTCCGATGTAGCTAAAGTTGCTGATGGGTACAGAGCCAGGACCTGCCTGGAGAGTACGGCGGTGGTCGTGCAGACAGACACCTTGGACGAAAGAGGTGGAGAGAAGGAGAGTCGACGCAACGGCGCCAAGGAATGTTGGGTTTTGGAAGCGCATCGTATGGTGTGGTGTCCAAAGAAAGTTAAGAGACGGCCAAGCGACCAGAAGAAGGGGTGGCTGACAGGACACGAATTGTTTGGGGGGGGTTATATAGAGTCTCTGATAAAAAGAACCACCCCATGGATAGTGAGTACTGGCAATGGCAATGTAAGCGAAATTCGCTCAATGGAAAATGCCAAGCCCTGCAGGGAAGGACGACAAAACATCAAGTCAAAAACGAAAAGGGTGATGGTATCGACAATTGAGGCTTTGAGAAGATTGAAGCACATACTTACTTCACAATTGAAACGAGGGAAAGTTGTGCCCAACCGGGATGAGAATAGGCGTTGAGAATGCATAGAATTTCCAGACAGGTCTTACCAGAAGGACCATGACCGAAAAGAGTCAGGGGTGGCACCTACGTAGTTGTGGCCTGAAGTGAAAGCACTTCCATAACGTCGCGCCAAGAGGGTTGAAGCTGAAGCTTTGAAGTTCTACGTCCAATCTCAGAGAGTCCGAAATCTGTGGTGGTGGCGTAATCAATGAAGGCTGTTTACTTTGTCAGATGAAGACAAACTCGTAAGAACAATGAACAACAAGAGTCCTTTCCCACCGCTGTTCAGCTTGATCCACGAGTACGACCAAACGAATTACCTCTTAACGTACCTCATCCACATCCAACGAGCCGACGGCGATTTTGGCGCTGTGGATCTCCTAAAGCCGTCCGCCGCCTTGTCATACTTCCGAAAGCTCTGCTCTTCATTCACGGACGTTTCCCAAGACGTCATCGACAACTTCTTCCAGGACTCGATGCGTCTCGTTCGGTCTCAAGGGGAGCCTGCTGTCAAGGCGCACACAGTGCCGAGGGAGGTGTCGGAGAAGGTGTATGAGATTTTAATGAAGAGCAAGGGTGCGGAGGTTTGGGATACTGAGGTTGATGTGATTCGGACTTTGGATGGGGCTAAACGATGAGGACACAACCTGGCACGGAAACTTCAAGTCATGCGATGTGGAGAGTTGTCAGGGAGACGACGACAACGGGTAAAAGGTCAGTAAGCTGTATTTCCGATATGAAGTGCAAGAAAGTGACGGTACAATCAGAAAATGCTTTTTAAGCAACAATCACCACATTTCAACGACATCGCGCCGGATTGACGAACGGAGGATGCTCAAGACGATTCTCCGAGGGATGGCGAGCGAGGGCGATGTCGTGAATTTCAGAGGATGATGACTGATTGGTGAAGGACGGACGATAGGTCGACAACAGCTGTTGGGACATTGGGTAAGACGACTTCTGCGAACGTTTATGGGAGAGGGACGACTTACGTTTTGTGAGTAGGACGTCCGAAACATCACTACTCCGAGGTTTGCGGCGATTCTTCATTCCGTCGTCTACGAGCTCCATCAACTGCAAAACCACCTCCTTCTCAATCTATTTCGTCATCGTCAAAAGTGAGGGTGGATGATATGGCACCCACGGGAAAGTCAGCCACCGTGGAGGGTTATAAAGCCGAAAGAAGTGGATCAGTTGCAGGCCAATCGACTCCATCATCATCCCCACCATCGATGTCCCCCTCGACTTCCCCGCCCTCACGTACACATTCCCGACAACCATCTGGAGGGACTGGGGCCATCGCGAGCTCTTCTTCCCGCCGTGCACACGCACCTTCCGTCTCAGCTCCACCGCCAGACCCATCCTCGTTCTCAACAACACAACCAGGACCAGATACCCATGGCATGACGCCCTCCATCATCTCCCACTCACCTTCAGCGACAACAACAAAATCACGACCTATGGAAAAAGAAGTGTCAGCCTCCGCGCGGGATCTTTGTCTCGGCTTGACGATGACACCTACACCACTAGTAACGCCCACAACGCGGCCGGCTACGCGTTCTCGGGCACAGAATATTTCGCCTGAGCACGAACCTTCGCATCACCGTGATTTTTTTACTGCGAGTAGACGGTGTTCGAAGTGTCGTGAGGTTGTGAAGAGTCCTCGATCTTCTGTATGTTCCCTCTTTCGTTCTTCCCTTCTTCACGCTGATTTACCTTTCACACAGTCAACTGAACCCTTCGCCCCCGCCTCCTCCTGTGCATCCTGCTACACAAATCACTGCAGGGGCTGCTTCAAACCCACGCGGTTTCCACCCACCTGCTCTGGTGGCTCATCATGCCCAATTCGGACCTGCTGCTCTGCCATCTGCGCCATTGCCTTATTCGAAGTGCTGTGCAGCTTCGATAAGGAATACGCGGGGTTCGTTGCGAATTTGACAACGAGGGAGTTTATCAATGTTGTGATTGCGCGTACGGATAAGAGGACGAGGGCTTTCGAGGGGATGTTGGTGGGTACCTTGAGGAACGTATCGAGTTGGCTTGTTCAAGCTGCTTCCCTCTCCTCGTCCTCTGAATCCGATTCGTCCTCTGGATCGGGGATACATCCCTCCATACCACGACTATTCACGGTCTCCCACCTCCCCGGAGTGATGTACGCTTTCCTATCCCACACACTTGGCGCAGAGCGCGATTGGGTGGTACATAGCGAGGTATACGTCGCGCTGATGGACGTGATCAAGAACCTCTCTTCGAGTTCGAATGGTGGGGTTTCTGGGGTGGTGAAAGAAGGAAGGAGTTTGGGAGATGCGGTGAAGAGGTTGGAGAGGCATCGGCAGGGATTGGAGAGGTATGGGAATAAGTTCAAGTTTGCGGCTATGGCGGAGAAGATTGAGACGCTTTGTGAGGGGATTTCGTATTTGTTGTTTCAGCAGCTTGTTGGGGGGTGATTGAGCGGGTTGGTTGGAGGAGGTTATCATTATTGCAGACGGTCCCAGGTGGTCTCTGCTGGGCAGATGACCCCCCAGCAGAGACCCATCGCAAAGCTTTTTCTCTTTTCCTAATTTTTTTTCTTTCTTCTTCAGAGTTTGGTTGCATTACATAGACGTCCAAGGACATTAATTCACTTACACTACGTGTATACTTTCTTGTTCAATTTTTTACATATATAATGTTGATGGAATATATTTCAGGTGAGATGGGCGTCACGGTGTTGTTTGCTATTGACGTTGCTAGATTCTTCGTTCTTGCTGCTTTCTTTCTTCCATCCTTCTTTCGTTTTTTGATCATCATTCACTCGATTGACTCACCCCTCGCATGTTTCTTTAGACGCCAACGAAAACGAAAACCCATACATATCCCCGTGAGGACAAGAAGGAGGGATCCGTCGCTCCATATGCGACATGTCGCTTTGATTTTTCAACCACCTCGTTCTGTCGAGCTTTAAGTTGATTTTAGGCCAACCAGTACATATACATAGAGGTACTATTTACGTGAAGTGGAGGCCGATTCAAGAGCCAGCGCTAGTAATCCCTCGATCGCATCGTGCATCCTGTCGACATGCCATGTCACCCGTTTACAACTGCTTCGAGCTAGTCTCGGCGCTTTTCCATGATCTGGAGCTACATCCAGTGAGCACTTCCCTCCATTCCATCACAGTCATCCACGTCCGTTTTCTCCATGCCAGACGATCATACACCCTCTGCTAAAGGCGAGAAATGTAAGTACTATCTTGTTGGCAACTCTGGTGAACAACCCTGACTTTCTTTGACAAGCGACTGCGGGTCTTGTCGCTACCTCGGACACAGAAATCAAACTATGTCAGCATAAAATCGGTGGTAGAAACCTCATCGTTTGCATCGACGGTACCGCAAATCAGTTCGGAGAGAAGGTAAGTATGCGTTTCCGAGGCTGTGTCCAGGGCACCACTTGCTGACGTTCTTGAAAGAACACAAATGTTATAGAATTGTATAACCGCATCTTAAAGGAGGTCGAGGACAACCAGAAAACCTGGTACAACAGTGGTATCGGGACGTACGCCCGGCCCTCTTGGAAATCGTTCAAATTCTACCGACAGGTCCTTTCTCATAAGGTCGATCTGGCGATTGCATGGTGCGCTGAGTGGTCAATTATATATCTTGTTTTTCTATTCACGTCTTTCCTCGTTCAGGAATTTTGAACGAACAGTATTGGGTGCATATCGCTGGTTGTCAGACAACTATGAGCGTGGGGACTGTATATTTCTTTTCGGTGAGTTGGAACAATATGTGACTTGTATCATTCCTTCGATGTTAAGGGATCTAACCAGGGTTTTCTCGTGGCGCATTCCAAGTCCGCGTACTCTCGGCAATGATTGACAAGGTGTGCTACGTTCTGAGAACACTGGCAGCCCCAATTGACGTCTTCGGAAAAATCTAGGTCGGGCTGATCCATAAAGGAAATGAGATGCAGATTCCATTGTGCGCTTAAATTATTCCATACCTCATTATTCGTTAACCAATTACCTCCAGTGCATACGAACTATATGTAGACCCGAAAAGTGATGAGGTATCAAGTTCAGTAACTCGAGTTGGATCGCCGCAGGCGAAGCAAGAGACCTCCAGCGCCGAGCGTTTCAAGCGGGCCTTCTCATACAAAGACGTACGAGTGCATTTCGTTGGTGCCTGGTCTGTAATACGTACTGCCTTTATGGAACCCTGTACGCTCACGATCAGAGTTTTAGGGATACTGTCTCGTCCATCGGGTTTGCACGCGGAAAGAAGATGCTCCCTCGGACAGTCGACGGGATGAAACACGTCTGCTTCTTCCGCCATGCATTGGCGCTCGACGAGCGACGGGTCAAGTTCTTGCCCGAGTACGCTTACGGAGGTTCAGCCACTTGTGCAAACCCAGACAACGAGAATCCTTCGGGTGCTAACCCTGGATCTTCGGAAAAGGGCAATAAACCATCCACAATAACTGAGGGGGAAAATACCAAAGATATATCCTCAAGTGATGATGTTGACCGCTCACAGGGTATCAAGCTGACGGTAAAGCATCCGCAAACCCTGGAAGTCTGGTTTGCGGGCACGCACTCGGATATGTAAGTGCATTCACCTGTCCACCTGATGGTTCGAATTTGTCATATCTTTACATTTAGAGGAGGCGGAAATGTGAAGAACGCCGAGATGGATCGTAGTAGACCTCCTCTGAGGTGGATGGTGTTGCAAGCGGGGGCGCTGGGTCTTCGCACAGAACCATTCGAGCGTGAGCTGTCCCCTCACGAGCAGATCAATGTCATCGAATCTTTGACGTGGGTCTGGTGGCCGCTTGAGCTTTGTTTCTTCGACAGATTGACATACACGAGGCGTGCCAATGGAAAAAAGATGACTCACAAGTAAATATAATCCAACTGCGAGGCAATACTTCAACTAACTGTTTTCTTAGGCCTCATCTCGGGTCAAGCCGCAAAATCCATGCTAATCAGAAGATACATGGTTCTCTATTGCTGGCTGGTAAATTAATGAGTACACTCCAAAGGCACGTTCTCTGGATGACGATCCATCATTCTGGGAGACAGCGCGTAGGGAGGGACTCGGCAACTGGCTGGAATTGGACTTGTATGACGTTGTCCGTACCCATGTGCAGAATTTCATCACCAAGGATGACAGTACTGTGTGGCAGATTTTGCGGAAAACTGCAACTTGGGGTAAACTTGCTCAAAATCTCTGAATTTTTCGTAGCTCACATATGCCCACATTTAGCGGATGGACGACAAGCAGTGTACGATCAAGTCATTGACGGCCTAAAGAAACCTGCTCTCGAGTCTGAGATCACGTTTCAACTCCTGCACAACACAGCAGACATCCTGGGGGTTCATCGAGCCAACTTAAAACTAAGTCCATCGATCGAAATCTGTCCTCTCGTAGCAGACCTTCGACATAGTAACGAAAAACGCTACCAGGAGACAGCACAACGGTTTGTGGAACAGTTTACGGATCGTAAGTGAAAGCCACGATTCTCCTTTTGTGAAAGACTGAACCCATTGCTCTTACCCAGCTTTCATCTTTGTATTGAGTGGACACACAGATTGGATCTGGTCTGTCGCACTCTCACCTGACGGAAGGCGCGTAGTCTCGGGATCGGAAGACAAGAGAATTCGGATCTGGGATGCGGAGACGGGGAAGCCAGTGGGAGAGCCATGCAAAGGACACAGAAAAGGGATCAACTCTGTCGCATTCTCGCCTGACGGCAGGCGCGTAGTCTCGGGTTCGGATGACGAGACAATTCGGATCTGGGATGTAGATACGGCGAAGCCAGTGGGAGAGCCATTCCGAGGACACACAGATTTGGTCAACTGTGTCGCATTCTCGCCTGACGGCAGGCGCGTAGTCTCGGGGTCAGACGACAAGACAATTCGGATCTGGGATTCAGAGACGGGGAAGCCAGTTGGAGAGCCATTCCGAGGACACACAGATGTCATTAACTCTGTCGCATTCTCGCCTGACGGCAGGTGCGTAGTCTCGGGATCGGACGACAATACAACTCGGATCTGGGATGCGGAGACGGGGGAGCCACTGAGAGAGCCATTCCGAGGACACACGGATGCGATCACGTCTGTCACATTCTCGCCTGATGGCAGGCGCGTAGTCTCGGGTTCGGAAGACAAGACAATTTGGATCTGGGATGTAGAGATGGCGAAGCCAGTCGGAGAGCCATTCCGAGGACACACAGATATGATCAACTCTGTCGCATTCTCGCCTGACGGCAGGCGCGTAGTCTCGGGGTCGGACGACAAGACAGTTCGGATCTGGGATGCGAAGACGGGGGAGCCAGTGGGAGAGCCATTCCAAGGACACGCAGAATGGATTACATCTGTCGCATTCTCGCCTGACGGCAGGCGCGTATTTTCGGGCTCGGACGACAAGACAATTAGGATCTGGGATGCGGAGACGAGGATACCAGTGGGACAGCTATTCCAAGGATCCACACATCAGATCACGTCTGCCGCGTTCTCGGACAGCACGCCCGTACTCGGGCAACAATACAGTTAGGGTTCAGGGCGCAGAAACGGAGTAGATAGTGGCAAGAGTGGATGATACCACTATCATATCTACCTGGACTTTCCCTCATCTCCCGTTATATTTCTTTCCCTCCCTCTGCGGTGACTTTCTTGTGCAGTACGTACAGTCGGGGTTTACGCAAGTTCAATGAACAGAATGGGGTATGGGCATCAAATTTGTCAAAGCCCTCTAACTACTCCTGACCATTAGGGGCGCTCAGAGTCGGAGTTATGTAGTTGTTGGACGTGTATACTTTTTTGTTCAGTTTTTTTACATATTATTGATGAGAATGCTGTATATTTTACTATTGTCAATGGTTTGTGAGTCGTGACATGAAGTGAAGGCCGATTGAGATGTTCACCAGCACCTCACGATGATACTTATGTATATAAGGAAGCCCCATAATGGGCTCTCATTAACGGCTCAAGTACAATAACAAAAGTACTTAAAAGGAGCAGAAGGGACGACGAAAAAAAAAATGAAACACAGTCCAAATCTACTTTGGTAACTGACCCGCAGCCACCTCAATCAAATTCTCCTCCCCTGGCGCATTCTGCACATATCTCGCATTAAACTTCAACACACTTTTAAACTCCAAAAACGCTTTCGGACTAATCGGCAGGAAAGTATCCGCGACGAGGAAAGTGACGCCGTCAGTACACGGAGGAGTCGTCAACGATCCGGTATATTTGAATAGGGAAACGATGTTGAAGAAATTCGTGATGTCGGAGAAGGAGAGTGGGCCTGTGGTGGTTGAGCTGCCTGGTTTTGTGATGGCATGGAGAGGAGCGGAGAGGGGGACTAGGAGGTTTGCGTTGGTTCCGGTGAGGGATAGTTCGAAGAGGGCTGCGAGGACGAGAATGGAACCGTCTGATGGACTTAAATTTAGTTGAAGAATGGATGGGTATGAGGTTCAACGACTTACCAGACGCGATGTTGACGAAATGTACTTCCATTGGATAAAATTGCGCGTCGATAAGGTGTTCCGTGGGTGTATGGAAGTGATATTGCTTCAGGCTGTACGTTTTGCCTTCAAAGATCGTAGTCCCATTGATCACAACCTCAACCGTCGAACCCAGGTTCTCAAATTCCGCCGACCTCACATTGGGGATGCTTAGTTTCGGATGGGTCTTCGAAAATGGGACGACGTCATGCTCGATATTTATGGGAGACTGGACATTGGCCGTTGAGCATTTTACGTTTGCAGGGCTAAGGCCCGCCCAGCCGAGAGGACCGGTGACTCCGATGTAGCTAAAGTTGCTGATGGGTACAGAGCCAGGACCTGCCTGGAGAGTACGGCGGTGGTCGTGCAGACAGACACCTTGGACGAAAGAGGTGGAGAGAAGGAGAGTCGACGCAACGGCGCCAAGGAATGTTGGGTTTTGGAAGCGCATCGTATGGTGTGGTGTCCAAAGAAAGTTAAGAGACGGCCAAGCGACCAGAAGAAGGGGTGGCTGACAGGACACGAATTGTTTGGGGGGGGTTATATAGAGTCTCTGATAAAAAGAACCACCCCATGGATAGTGAGTACTGGCAATGGCAATGTAAGCGAAATTCGCTCAATGGAAAATGCCAAGCCCTGCAGGGAAGGACGACAAAACATCAAGTCAAAAACGAAAAGGGTGATGGTATCGACAATTGAGGCTTTGAGAAGATTGAAGCACATACTTACTTCACAATTGAAACGAGGGAAAGTTGTGCCCAACCGGGATGAGAATAGGCGTTGAGAATTGGTTGAGAATGCATAGAATTTCCAGATAGGTCTTACCAGAAGGACCATGACCGAAAAGAGTCAGGGGTGGCATTTATGTAGTTGTGGCCTGAAGTGAAAGCACTTCCATAACGTCGCGCCAAGAGTGTTGAAGCTGAAGCTTTGAAGTTCTACGTCCAATCTCAGAGAGTCCGAAATCTGTGGTGGTGGCGTAATCAATGAAGGTTGTTTATTTTGTCAGATGAAGACAAACTCGTAAGAACAATGAACAACAAGAGTCCTTTCCCACCGCTGTTCAGCTTGATCCACGAGTACGACCAAACGGATTACCTCTTAACGTACCTCACCCACATCCAACGAGCCGACGGCGATTTTGGCGCTGTGGATCTCCTAGAGCCGTCCGCCGCCTTGTCATACTTCCGAGATCATTCACGGACGTTCCCCAAGACGTCATCGACAACTTCTTCCAGGACTTGATGCGTCTCGTTCGGTCTCAAGGGGAGCCTGCTGTCAAGGTGCACACAGTGCCGAGGGAGGTGTCGGAGAAGGTGTATGAGATTTTAATGAAGAGCAAGGGTGCGGAGGTTTGGGATACTGAGGTTGATGTGATTCGGACTTTGGATGGGGCTAAACGACGAGGACACAACCTAGCACGGAAATTTCAAGTCATGCGATGTGGAGAGTTGTCAATGAAACGACGACGACGGGTAAAAGGTCAGTAAGCTGTATTTTCGATATGAAGTGCAAGAAAGTGACGGTACACTCAGAAAACTCGACTTTTTAAGCAACAATCACCACATTTCAACGACATCGCGTCGGACAGACGAACGGAGGATGCTCAAGACGATTCTGCGACGGATGGCGAGCGAGGGCGATGTCGTGAATTTCAGAGGATGATGACTGATTGGTGAAGGACGGACGATAGGTCGACAACAGCTGTTTGGACATTGGGTAAGACGACTTCTGCGAACGTTTATGGGAGAGGGACGACTTACGTTTTGTGAGTAGGACGTCCGAAACATCACTACTCCGAGGTTTGCGGCGATCCTTCATCCGGTCGTCTACGAGCTCCATCAGCTGCAAAACCACGTCTTCAATCTATTTCGTCATCGTCAAAAGTGAGGGTGGATGATATGGCACCCACGGGAAAGTCAGCCACCGTGGAGGGTTATAAAGCCGAAAGAAGTGGATCAGTTGCAGGCCAATCGACTCTACCATCATCCCCACCATCGATGTCCCCCTCGACTTCCCCGCCCTCACGTACACATTCCCGACAACCATCTGGAGGGACTGGGGCCATCGCGAGAACTTCTTCCCGCCGTGCACACGCACCTTCCATTGCAGCTCCACCACCCGACTCATCCTCATTCTCACCAACATAACCTGGGTTGTTAAGAGTCCCCGATCTTCGGTATGTTTCTTTCGTTCTTGCCTTTTTCACGCTGATCTCATTCGCGCACAGGCGACTGAATCTTTCTCCCCCCGGCTCCTCCACCTTCCCTGTGCATCCTGCAACACAAACCACTTCAGGGGATGCTTCAAACGCACCCAGTGTCCACCCAACCGCTCTGGCGGCGCATCATGCCCACTCCGGACCTGCTGCCTGTCCATCTGCGCCATTGCCCTA